TTTCACTGTCTTCTCTTTCTGTGTTCCACTTTGTGGTATTAGGCGTTCTGCAGCTGAATTATAACTAAGATTGTATCCCATGGCTGCTTTGGAAATCCCTTGCTATTGCCTAGGCTAAATTAATAACTTGGTTCCTTTATTTTAATTGTCACATTGGACGTTGCAGAAGTCCAGATAGGAATTAGGTTCATCCAATCAGGTGGTTGGGAAGATTTAATTAGATACTAAGCTGTACAGCTTAGCATTTTGGCACCCGCCTCAACATGCTTCCTCATCCTTAATTGAACACTAGAGAATTAATACTGATCCCAAACAGAACTCCATTACGTACAATAAAAACTATGGCCTGGCATGGAAATTTGCCAGAATAAATGTATCTTGCTATCATGAAGTTTCCTGGTCATTAAGCTCTATTCTATGGCTTTTTCATAAAAACCATGTATGTGCATGCATGTGTGTACGTGTGTGTCCATCCATGTCCCCTGGAGCTGGAGTTAGAGGTGGCTGTGAGCTATCTGACGTGGGTGCTGGGAACCGAACTCAAGTCCTCTGCAAGAGCAAGAGTCAGTCTTGGCTATTGAGCTCTCTACCACTCCAGCCCCTAAGTATATACCTTTGGAGGAAGATTTGGTTATCTTGTACTCATTATTTTATTAGATATGTAATGTTTCTTTAAGTTTCTGATAGTAATGATAGATATTCTGCTGCTTAACAATATTTTTTTATTCAAGAAAGAAAAACCATGTACTCATAAAATTATATGCCTACTGTTGGGAATGTAGCTCAGTGGTTCAATCTGAAGCACAATTATTTTTGTATACTTTAAATTCACTTTTTGGAAACTAGGAAGATGGCTCAGAGGGTAAAGTCCTCACTGTGCAAGCTTGAGAGCCTGAGTTGGGACCTCGGGAACTCATTTAAACCTGGTGTGATAGCACATCTGCCTTCCCAGTGCTCCTGTGATAGGTGGGGGGCAGAGCTAAAGAGAATTTCTGTCCAGAGTCCAGCTAGCCTGGTGTAAGCTGTGAACATCAAGGAGACTGTCTATAATAACAGACTCAGGACAGACAGCTGATACTGTCCTCTGACCTCCACGCATGCCATGGTAAATGCGCCCCCATCATCACACTTTAAAAACTGACCTCCTAGCCGGGCGGTGGTGGTGCACACCTTTTTTAATCCCAGCACTTGGGAGGCAGAGGCAGGCGGATCTCTGGGACTTCGAGGCCAGCCTGGTCTATAAGAGCTAGTTCCAGGACAGGCACCAAAGCTACAGAGAAACCCTGTCTCAAAAAACCAAAAAAAAACAAAAAAACAAAAAAAAAAAAACCTGACCTCCTGAAAAGTTTAATTTTGAGTTTTAATGGAGATACCATGTCATCACCACGAAAATCAAATGCTGATCGAGTGAAAACACAGTTACCTGATTTTCTTGAAGCAGAAGAGTGTATGCGATGTTCAAGATAGACCAGAAAAGTACAGGCCGTGAAACAGGCTGCTTGTTTGAAGGTGACGTGGAAAGCAGTAGGGTTGATACTGCCTTGAAGGGGTTAGTGAAGTAAACACAAGAATTGGATGTGTAGTTGCACAAGCCACTGAGAATGTTTATATCTGTGTAGAAATAGGGATGTGGCTTAAAATGAGGAAGTAACTCCACTGCCACCACCCTTTTTACAGTACAAGGGGTTGAACCAGAGCTTACCCATGCTTGGGAGACATTCTACCACTGAGCTATAGCCATGTCCTGCCAGTAACACTTCGGAAAAGCCAGTACGAAAGAAAAAGGTCAGGCTAGGTGTAGCTCAGTGGTAGCGTGTACTTGCATATGGGAAGATCTAATTCCTAGCACACACACAACAGCCACAACTTTTAGACACCATCGGACTGCTGCTGTCTCCTTGTGTAGTACCAAAGAGGCAGAAAGGTTTCTTGGTACAGTAAGGGAGAGTGATGAGTTTAGGAAACAAAGTCTAGTTGATGATTCATTTGCAAAAAGCATTATTATCAGTTGTTTGCTTTTCTTATTCGCTTTTATTATAAAAGGCAATTGTTTCTTCATTTATATTCAGTATAAAGTTTTATTTTAATTTGAGTGGAAGAGTAGGAGTTAGTGATCTTAATTTACTTTCTGGCCTCTATAGTTCTGGTACTTTCTATTTGACACGACCAAATGACTTCTGAAACATTTTGTGGTGAAATGTTTGTTAATTTTCAGTCTTGATTTCTTAACATTTTTCACCTTATCATTTTCAGGCAGGTCAATGAAATAAAACTGTTAGGATATCAGTAGTCACTGAAGGGTTACGGGGATTTGAAGTTAGGTCATGCAAGGGATATTTACTTAGATATCATGTCAGGAAGGCATAACTGCTTATTGATACATCCTTTGACAAATTGCCCTGTGTACGAAGGTGAATTGCTTTTGTAATAATAAGTGAGTCTAGATTGAAAGTGTGAAGTTACTCCTGTGGAGTAGCTGATCCTCTAGCTTCTTGGCTCATTCAGTGACACCATTTTATAAAAGAATTGGAATCACATTTGTTGGCAAGATGCATTGAGCACTAGCATTATGTGTGGCATTGTAATGTTGGAGACGTGGGAGAAGTCTTGGTCTGTGTCTTTGAGGGATTAAGAGTTTCCTAACTGCTGTGCCCGAAGCCTTAGCGTCATCATTGAGTTGCTAATTTCCAGTAAATGACAAAGGACTTCATATAGTAAGACTTGCCCGATTTGTCTACCTGTGGGAAGAGCCTGTAAGATAAATGGCGTGTCAGAGACCCACACTTCACTAGCTGTATTTCATTTTCTCCAAGCAGGGGTGCGCCAGCTTGAAATCATGTGCTGCTTTGGCTGCATGTCTGTGCTTGCCAACTACTTCGTGTTCATGACGTTCTTCCCAGCTTGTGTGTCCCTGGTCCTAGAGGTAAGAATGGTTTTCCTGGTGACATTAGTTTAGAAGAGTATTGCTCCTATTCTGTTACCTCACCTAAATTGACTGTATACCTCCTAATGCAGTGCTGCTTACTTTATAGCTTTCTCGGGAAAGCCGCGAAGGTCGGCCAATTTGGCAGCTCAGCCACTTTGCCCGAGTTTTGGAAGAAGAGGAGAATAAACCAAACCCTGTAACCCAAAGGGTCAAGATGATTATGGTAATGGCATTTTTCTTTTCCAGTATCCATTCAATGTTTCTTATGCTTTGGGTATTTGAGGCCTTTTGTTTTTAGTTTCCTATCATGTTTACATAATATTTGGCCCTTTCAGTGGTATTCCAGTGTCCTTTCTTTACTCTGAATTTACTCTTTTTTTCTTTGAAGTTCTGGGGCTTTAGTGTGTTGTTTTGAGACAAGATCTCACTAGCTGGCTTTAAACTTGAAATCCTCCTGCCTCAGCCTCCTGAGTGTAGGGATTCCAGGTAAATGCCACTATGCCCCTCCAGGCCTTTTGGTCTTTCTTTTTTTTTTTTTTTTTTTTTTTT